CCTTTTGTTCAGAAAGCTATCACCCGTAAAGAGACTCAATGAATATATTTTTTTTACGTCAGAGGGTCACTTAAAAAGACGTGAGCAGAACTCCTGGTCTGACTCAGTAGGGGAGGGATGGGGGGCTGCTTCAGAACCACTTACTGGGTCGTAGAACACTGTTTTACCCACAGACAGAACCAACAAGAAGGAAGCAAAATGTAAAGAATTAGAGAAAAATCCAATTTTATATGCAAATAAATTCTAATTATAACAACAAATTAATAATAGTTTTACATCTGAAATCATATTTTATTCTGTTTATTTGTTTTCATCATTCAGCAACCTATTAAATTTGTGTTTTGTTATGTTTTATAGCTATAACCAAGTTTATTAATGTATGAGAAATCCACATTCTTTGGGGGTTTTTCCAGTCAGAGTTTAATATAGCTGCAAAATCAATTGTGAAAATATTTATGATGTGCTTATTTTTCATTTAGCATTATATTAAAAAAAATCCTTCATTTTATGAAAAGACCCTCTTGATTCAATAGAAAACTCTGGGTTTTAATAAAATGGCTGCTTATCAATTAATCGTTAGTCAATCTATAAAATAAATCAACTTCTTGACAACTACACATTAATTGATAATTTACATCCCTAATTCATACAGGAATTAAATTAATTTATATCTACTTATATTTATGTAATTAAGTGTTGTAATGATTTTGCCGATTAATCGAAAAAATAATTGACAGATTAATTGTTTATTAAAATAATCATTAGTTGCAGCCCTAATAAAGAATGCTATTTAAGTTACTTTAAATGAGTTTTGTCTCCATATTATAACAAGCAGAAGAAACTGTACGTTTTCTGTCGAGTCTATTTGTTACTTCTGACCTCCAGGTCCAACTTGGTGCCCCATGGAGGAGGAGTTGCTTGCTCAGCCTCAGGTCATGAAGCTGCTGGACTCTCTCAGAGAGCAATACACCAAATACCAGGAGCTCTGCCGGCAGCGTAACAAGCGAGCACAGCTGGATGAGATTCACACCAAGGTCATGCAGGTAAGAAATGCTAACATGTGCATCGATGTTCATTAAATTCAAGACCCACAGTTTAAACAATGGCTTGAGAACCTCTTACTACCAAGGACTGGATACAGACTGTAGATTCAATACTTGAAACTGAGTTCTTCACACAGAGACTAAAGGACACAGGAAGAGCATTGCCTGGACAAATGGACAAACTTCACATCAATGTTACAGGTCTAATTTTGGACATGAAATGTCTCTGAGTTAAGTGTTATTGAACGAAGAGTCTCCCCAGTGTGTAGTTTGTTTATTATCGATTGTTTTCAAAAAGAAAAAAACCAGTAGGTCCTCTGGATGRTTCTTCTTTAGTGAAATGTTTCGTCTCTCCTTCAAGAGACTACTCTGAGTTCCTTCCGGATGAGTTTCTCACCCTTTCTCTAAGGGAGAGCCCAGACATCCTGCAGAGGAAACTCTTTTTGGCCGCTTGTTTCTACGGTCTCGTTCCTTTGGTCATTACCGTGACCATAGATGAGGGTAGGAACTTAGACTGACCGGTAAATCGAGAGCTTCACATTTTGGCTTAGCTTTCACTTCGCCATGACAGACCGGTACAGCGTAGGGATGGGAAATCGTCCCTATTTTCAGATCATAAGATTATGGTCACTGGCTATCGCTGATAGATGATCCAATCGGCTGATAAGACATGCGCAGTTACGTTGTTAAAAAAAAAAGGAAGGAAAAAAATACCAAGCAGGTCCGCTTATCATAAGGGACGGCTTCTTTTTTTTTCTAAAGTCGCTTTTAAATTCCATGGTTCGTGTTCGCATATACCTTTCATAGTTCCTGAGACCCCTGCGCCAAGCTCCTGGGAAACCCCCCTCCCCGCTGCTGCATACGTCACTATAGGGGATTTCTACCCAGAGGGAGTCCAATGCAGAAAAGAAAGTCCGACACTCGCCACTCGACTTWGCTTAGCCACAAASTGGTCCAGGATTAAGCTCAAAAGTTTTTATCAGTCAGATTTCACTGTGAAAATAGTCTGTTTTTTCCTCCTTTTATGAGGTTTTGGCCGTTTGACTATCTTTATAATCACTGCTTCCTGGTAGTCAGCGTTCGAACAAGTCACTTTTTTCTCTCTTTTTTAAGTGAGTGGTTGAAGCAAACGCAGCGTCTGAGCGCTTTTAGCACAAACAAACACTCCCACAAACTTCTGACCAATCACACCATATAGTTCGTATGTGTTCTTATGTGGAGGGGGTGAAAAGTTCGACCTGCACACAGAGCCCAGAGTGATGGGGATGAACAGGGGTGAGGGAGTGCGCTCCGGTCCGGTTCAGAATTGTATGATTGTCATCGATTATTCGTTTTGAAACTAAACGTTATAATATAGCACCATTTGGGTCATTTGTGGTGCACCAAAGCAAGAAGATGACGAGGAGAGACGTGAAGAGGAGCTGCGCACATTGGCTCCGACTCCCAGAAAAAAATAAATAAATAAACAGAGACTCAGCACTGTTATTTTACTCCCTCATTTGCACAGATCACAATGATAATGATTAAAACATTGTAATTTACAGAGAATGGCGCATTTAAAATTTATTTTACATCCCTGGCACAGCATTTAATTAATTAATAAAGATCTCCCTTTAAAAAAACAAATCACATTCCAACCTTTCAATCGCCGATAGACGATTGAATCGTAAATCACGCCATCCCCAGAACAGCGCCTGCATCACTGCAGACACAGCACCAASCTGCCTGTCAATCTGCTCTATTCTTCCCTCATTCGTGAACAAGAACCTGTGATAGTTAAACTCCTTCACTTAGGGCAGGACCTCCTCCCTGACCCAGAGGAGGCACTCTACCCATATCTGGCTCAAGACCGTGATCTCAGATTTGGAGGCACTGATCCTCATCCCGGCCACTTCACACTAGGCTGTGAACCGCTCCAGTGAGAGCTGGAGATCAGGATCTGATGAAGCCAATAGGACCACATCATCTGCAAAAAGCAGAGATGTGATCCTAAGGTCACCAAAAACAAATCCCCTCAACACATTGGCTGCGCCTAGAAATTCTGTCCATAAAAGTTATGAACAGAATCGGTGACAAAGGTAGGGATGTCCCGTTACCACTTTTTCAC